GTAGTTGCTTTGATGTCTTAGAGGTATTCGCAACATTTGGGCTCATGCTGAACCGAAATCACTTCACTTCAACGCGGCTCGGTTTGGTTTGGTTCGGTTCGGTTCGGTTCTGTGCTTATTTGCAGCCTTGTCGTACCCTATATTTGCTGCTGTGGAATCCAACAAGTGTTGTTGACAGCATCACTTTCCACGTTTCACTGTGTGCGTATCATTAATTTTCGAGTCGAATGAACCGCAACGTGAAAAATAGCAGCTGATCCCGCTTGGCTTTGCGCTTTGCTTTGCGCTTGACATCGGCCCATCAACTGGAACTAAATTGACATGTGATAAGAATATTTGATATAAATCTCAAATACCCAGAGAGACTCTCTCTCTCCCTCTCTCTCTCTCTCTCTCTCTCTCTCACTCACGCACAGTCTGCGTATGGCTTTAACCTGATTTGAACTGCCGGAGGAATTTCTGAGAGTTGCAGGATTAAGATAAACATCAGTGCGCCAACTCTTACAGACTGATCTGACTGCGGACTTCTGCTTATGCGCGCTAGCCCAGTTCACTTGTTAATTTCCTCGTTTTTTCACTTGGCTACTTGATTTTATTATTCACCGACTCGTTTAGTGATTCCATGTCCGTCTTCTTCTTGTTTATATTTATCTAACGTGAAATGTATGAAATACCTCCTACATATTACACATTGTCGGGAAAGCACTGAATGCTCTTTGGACTGGCTAATTACATTAAGAGTATATATGGGCTTATCAAGCAAAAACTCACCGGGAAACAAAAGAGTCCCACTGAGATTGTAGAGCTATAATTAGAGGCGTAGGAATGTAGAGAAATCTTTGAAAGACTCCCAGAGGGAACGAAATACACGTGACGCAGAGCTTCGACTAGAGGTGTCGAAAATATATCAAAATATCAATATATAGATATTTTTGGTTGAAGTGAATCAAGCGCAAAAGTAAAAAAATTGAATATGGTGAAAATGAATTATTCGGACTTTAAAAATGGAATAATTTGTGCCTTAAATCGCATATAAAAAGAAGCACTATGATGATTACACTGGGAGCTTGAGATGTACCGCAGCTTGCTGCAGACTTCTCGGGACAGCAATCCAATCATTTTTTAGATTTCTCATAAGGTGGCTATGCCAGAATTATCGAAGATCGCATTACGATGCCTATCCACCTATCTCAGTGCGACTCACGACGTCATATGACGGATACTCATATCACAGAACGCGTTTTTTAAATTTTTGAGTACCGAATACTGGTGCTAATCGGTCTTTATCAATTAATTAAAGCATACTTATTCTTATTATGTTTTTTTTTTTTTTTTTTTTTTTTTTGGGACGAATTATAAGTTTATTGTGGGAAAAACGTTTTCTGCAAAAATTTAAACAAAAAATCGAAAAATATTGATATATAGGTTTTTTAATGTTGCATATTAAATATCATTTTGATATTTCAAAACTTCAAATATCATCGATACAATATTTTAAAAATTTTCGACAACTTTAGCTTCGACTATTTCGAAGAAGATGAAGAATTTCATGTTTGTGAAATTCTGTCCGTAACTAGACAAATGAAGTGTAATGAGGGAAAAATTAGGTCACGTGTGCACGTAAGTCATTAGTTACGTTCATGCGAACAGAAAACAAGATATATTGTTAGGTGACAGAACTGCTTGCTATGCAGGCATACGCTCAAATATAAAAGTACTTGCCCTGCTTTACATAAACGGCTTTATCCACTTCACAAACCTACTGTGTAGGCACAGTCGGCAGTCACATTCGCTGCCTAGTAATTAGCGAAGTCTGGGTAGGAGAGTGCAATAGCTTAGACGCAAACCACTTTCATATCTTCAATGCTGAAATTGTATGTATTGAAATAGATTGCTCTGGATGTCGCGGACCGTTGAGCATCATATAACCACAGTCGCTCAGTCGCTTCTTAATTCAAAATTCCTCTGTGAGGGGAACTGACGACGATAGGCTAAAGTAACTGGGAAACGATTCAAACTCGCTTCAATGGCAAAACAACGCATCATCGCATCTCTTCGCATGTGGAGCAAGCCGTTGCCCAATAAATGGAATCTGTATGTTCATCTTATGTTGATTAATATGCTGACAATTATAATTTCATAAAAGAGTTCTTAGCGTTATTTGTTACCAAACCAAACCGTCGACTACAATAGTCCATGTAGAAATTAGCAAGGTTAACAACCACAAAAAACGTACAAGTAAAGACAACAAATTAGTGCTAACGGTGAAGCCTTGAGATGCTAGCAAGGATGGAATCCACAAAAAACAGAAATTAGCTGCTTGGACTCAAACCTTTCGAAATAAGCATGGAAAAGAACCACTCAAATGGAAGAGTAGGTATGTATATCGTACAGTCCACATTGTGGACACTAAACGCTAGGACCTAGTCTATATAGAAATATGAACAATGGGCACAAACATGTTTAACAAAAATTTCTAAAGACACATAGTGATTTTGCATGATATGTAAATAAATAGTTATTGAGGTTTGTTTCGTCCCCTAGCAGACTGTATAGATTCGAGCAAATTCGGGAGTGTTGAATAAATAATATCTAAATATTTAAATATATGTATATACTCAACAATAGATGTCGCTTTAGGCTAGTATAGTGCACTTCAGATGGGAGCTGGCTGATATGCTACTATTACTTTATGTGTAAATATCAAATTCATGCAAAGGAAGTGTACTGACTAGGGCTGTCAAATATTTTTGAAATATCGTATCGATTAAGTTTTGATAAGCAACTTTAAAAAATTTCTGTATAATTGTTTTTCGATTTTGTTTTGTATTTTTAAACCTTATCTATATATATAAAAGAAAGTTGTGTAAAAGTGAAGACTGCTTATAACTTGATTTGGGCTGAACCAATTTTCATGGTTTTTGATTTGTTGGATTTGTCTCCGCAACGAGTTTAGTATAGGGTCTTAAAAATACTGAAAAAATTTGCCGAATACTTGAAAAACGCGGTTTTTTCCCCAAATGTTCAAATTTTTTTTATACCCAGTAGGCTTGGTAACAGTGACAGTTTTGACAATAGTGTAGAAGTAAATAAACAAATGTAGTCAGTCAGTCTACGGTCTCCTGACCTCGAGCAGACCTGACTATTCAAAAAAAAAAACNAAAGGAAAATTTAAAGATGAGGAAGTTCTTATTCCTAGGATTCCGATGAGCTCAACAGATATGCCCTTTGAATTTAAACGAATTCAATTCCCGCTTCGTCTTGCCTTCGCCATGACGATCAACAAGTCACAGGGCCAATCTTTGACTATTTGTGGCCTCAATCTAGAAAATGCGTGTTTTTCTCATGGTCAATTGTACGTGGCATGCTCACGTGTTGGCAAACGATCCGCATTATTTGTTCTTGCACCCGACCAAAAAACGAAGAATGTCGTTTACAACAAGGTGCTTGAATGAAAATCCGATTAATAAATTTATCAGTGTATCCCAGCCTGAACAACATAGCTTTCAACAATTTTTTACCTAGAAATAATATAGAGGGCAATGCAACGTTTGCCGGGCCAGCTAGTAATCAATAAATTTATAATCCTTTTCAAAATCAAGAATAATAAGAATAGTATTTTTTAATTTATATGATAAAAACAACTCAACTCTAGTATTCTGTACTCAAAATTATCATAGTGAGTTTTTTTATATTCGACTTCATATCTGATGTGTTGGGGACTTGTGTTTATTACTTTGAGGCACAAATTACATTTGGATGTTCCATTCTTAAAGTCAGATTAATTCGTTTTCTCCATATTCAATTTTTATACTTTTCGCTTGGTTCACTTATTACTCAAATATATCAAAAATATCTAAACAAAGTATTCGAAATTTAGGTAAAAAAATATTTCGATATAAATATGTTTTGTATACAAATAATATTAATATTTTGATATATTTTCGACAGCCCTGAGTGACCATGTGAGTGTACTGACCATGGCTGATGCTGATATGTGGTTCGAAGTCTGTGTTAATGCATGGGTAAGGGTTAGCGGTAGGGTAGTTGAAAATACATATATTAAACTATCAATACATAAACAAAATATATTTATATATATCATCGATACGATATTTTAAAGTTTTTACAACCCTCGTTAGATGCAAGCGTTACATTATAACAATCCCTCTTTACTCTTTTTACTAAACTATAACTAACTTAGAGCGAGAGAGAGAGAAAGGGAGATAACAGAGCGAGTAAGAGAGAGAGAGAAAGGGAGACTAAGAGAGAGAGGGAGTGAAAGACAGATAGAGATGATGTCTAAGGTAATGAAGGTACATACATATCTTCTTATTATGCTTTATGCCATACCACAAAGATGGGGCGATTCGCGATACCAAGTTAATGCGCAGCACACGACCCAAATTAAATTTAATAACCAATTAGGCATATTAATTTAGTCGTGTTGTATACACAGTTTAGAAAAGCTGCAACAGCATTGCAACCATTCAAAGCCACCCCGAAACACTGCAATATGCCAATAAAGTTCAAAGTGTACCGAGGAGAGTCGAAGGTACCTTGGGTACAAGTGCCCAACGTCGAAGAGACTTTCTGAAATCTTGTTTATACTCATTCACGGAAGTGAAACGAATATATTGGTTTTTGTGCAATGTCCGTCTTTCCGTATGAAGGCAGTTTATTTCGGCGCTATGGAAACTAGAGATTTGAAATTTGGAATACATATTCGTGTATGTCTCCCATTTATGAATGGTTAAAATTTCCCGGATCCGCCCAGTAGGAGCAAATCGCTGCTGATGGAGTGTAAATGAGTATTCTGCAGTTGATAACGCCCGACTGCAACGTTCTTACTTGCTTTTATATACATGCACATATATATAAGATTATATAGATATACATATATATGTATAGGCCTGCTGATTTTTGGCTTTATTAGCAAAACCCAAAAAAGTCATTGGTTACAGTTTTGCCTTAAAGCTCAAGTCTTGAATCAACTTCTTGAATCATATCGATTCTGAGAAGCCGGCAAGTGTCCAACATTCGTTCGATTTGCATTCGTTTGCTGAGTTGCAGTTTGCGATTTGCAATTCGCAATTCGCAATTTGCTCGCATGAGCCACATCCATTTGGGAATATACATTTCGGTATTTCATTTGGCCGAGTGTAACGATGCGACTCGCTGCTGTTTCATTACTTTATTTCGGTCTCGCTGGCCTTTCGGGCCTGGGCCAGCAAAGTGATTCAGGCCAGGCCTACATGGAGCAGTTCGCCCAGTTCAAGGTAAGTGCACAACCGAGTCAATGCCACGCGCTAACTGTGGTTCCTTGCCCCGAGCCGCCGTTTAGGAAGCCAACAACAGGAGCTACATACGCGCGCATGACGAATTGCGTAGCTACAAGGCCTACGAAGAGAACCACCAGATCGTGGAAGCACACAACAAGGACTACGACTCGGGGAGGAGCAGCTTTCGCCTGGCAGCGAATACCCTGGCAGACATGGTAAGCCAAAGATCGAACTATTCATCACTTCTGGACGGGCCATGGGCTATACTTGCATGTGGGTCATCCATCAACCAGAAGAAGAAGAAGCTGCCGATGGAGTTGGCACCACTAATGAGGGCCTCAAGGCAACGACCGGGGTTTTATAAATCACGTTGTCGATCGTTCTCTCTCCTCTCCTGTGAACGATATCATTTAGGAATCCGCCTAATATTCTGCGACGCTTCCAATCCATAGAGCACCGACTCGTATCTGAAGGGCTTCTTACGCCTGCTACGGAGTCCCCCGATATCGGCATCCGATAACATGGCCGATATAGTCGGAGCAACGCTAATGGATAATGTGCCAGATAGTTTGGACTGGCGTAAAAAGGGATTCGCGACTCCGTCGTACAATCAACAGAGCTGCGGCTCGTGCTACGCCTTCAGCATTGCCCAGAGCATAGAGGGCCAAGTATTCAAGCGCACCGGCAAAATCCTCTCTCTGAGTGAGCAGCAGATTGTAGATTGCAGCATATCACACGGCAACCAGGGCTGTACGGGCGGCTCATTGCGCAACACTCTCCGCTATCTACAGGCTACCGGGGGTCTCATGCGATCCGTCGACTACAAGTATGCCTCAAAGGTAAATGGGACTGCGAGCAAACATATACATATACATATACATATACATATACATATACATATACATATACATATACATATACATATACATATACATATACATATACATATACATATACATATACATATACATATACATATACATATACATACA